AAAATGCAGTACATACCTCTCCTCTGCTGACCCTCATCCTGACATTTCATGTTCAGCTCTTAACACCAGCTGCCAGGAGCTAGAACAAGGTGCATGATGTCCTTCTACCCTCCTCTGGCTATCATGGCTGGTGAGCCACAACTCCCAGCTGCTCTCAGAATAAAATGAAGCCACATCCCCTGGGGTTGCTGGGCAGCAAGAGACTTTTTAGGAAAGACTAGGTTCTTAGATGCTTACTGTGCATGGTCTTGGGACAAAAATACCAGACAAAACTAACACTCCTGGCCTGCAGAGAACCATTTAGCCCATGTCAGGCAACACTGATATCACATATCTTTAAACTTTCTGGTCCCAGATACATTTACACTTCATTTTTTCCTTTTAAAAAAATCAGGTCTCTTCAGTATTTCATATTCTACATCGTGGAATAGGAAATTGCTACAGTTATCTAAACAACTGACTCTGCAAAGCATAGACAGGTCCTATCTCTTGAGTCTCAAACATCTGACAGATGGCCTGAGGAAAGGATTAGAAGCCAGAATCAAATGAGTTCAGGCTCCAATATTAACTCCATCTACACAAGGTGCTTATCCTCAAGTGTGCCTTCATCTCTCCACCCAATAAGAAGGAGCACTGCACACCCTCCCAGCAATAGGTTATAAGGAATTGCTCTTCTACAAGAAATGGTGGTGTTTAAGCATAAAAGGCTTTGACAGAATCTTACCACATGCCCATATATCCACTGGTTTTCCATAAGGATCTTTCCTTAAGACTTCGGGGGAGAGGTAGCCTGGAGTGCCAGCAAACCCTGCCAGGAAATAGATGACATGAAGTACTTACAGTACCCAAGTAGAAGAGATCTTGCCACATCACAAAATCCACTAGTGGTAACCAAGAAATTCCAAAACCCATTTCCCATGCTTCATCTCGTATTTCCTAGAGCTACCTCTTGGTAAATGACCAGAAAGAGGGGGAAAAAGGCGGGGCAGTGGTGGGGAATAAAAAAAAAAAAAAAAAAATCAGGTGGGATCGAGTGTCTATGTATTGCAGGAAAAACAGAAAAGAAAGATGGACCGTGTCAACCAGCTGGGCAGAAACTCGTATGCTAGGCCTTAAATCATAGTTACATATAATGGCTTGGAGTTTGAAAACACAAGACACAGATGGGACACATCTGATTGCCAAGTGGGGTGGGAAGACCAGGAGAAGTGGCCATCTCTTCAGAATCTCTCCAGCACTGCAGAGTCTCAGAGCTGATGTTTAGCCTGAGAAGGTCTCATTTCTAATTATGTTTTAGCTAAACAAAGATAAGGCCAGACCCAAATGTGCCTGAGGAAGGCCAGGTCAAATGCATTTCTGTAAAATGACCGAACAAAATTCCAGATGTCTACACTCCTAAGCAGTAGGAAAGTTCAGATCAGGGTCTAAACTTAGCAGCTGCATTCATCTCTGACACTAGCATCTACTGTAAACCAAGACGAAAAACAGAGAAATACGTAGCCATTTTTTCTGTCTTTATTTATCATATTCTTTCCTCTGTTGCACCTAGGCTCGTGCCCAAGGACCCAATGCTGAGACGCTTGCAAAGGAAGCAGCAATACCAAATACACATAAGTGTGCTGGAAGAGCTGAAAGAAAGTACTCGGGGAGGGTGCAACTCAACCAGCCACCAGGAAAGGGGGGAGCAAAAGTGGGAAATCTCAAACACTCTTACCAAACCAGGCCTGCTGTTCTCCCTGGACTTCTATAGCCAGTCCGAAGTCAGCCAGTTTGACAGCAGCACCCTTACATTTACTTGCCAGTAGTAAATTCTCAGGCTGGGGAGAAGAAAGAAAAAAAGGGGTAAGAATGAAAGACTGACATCCTCGTTAAAGCCTCCTACCTCAGTATTCGCATCATTAAATTGAATCTGAATTTAGCAGGCATGTACTAAAGCTGTTTAGGTGAAGGCAGAGCAACAGCAATAAATGGCTGTGACCTAGAGTGGCAGAAAATCCTCAAGTCTAACACAAATCCTGTGGGAGCCAGAGCCTCTCCCAACCCAGCCCATACGTTACAGGCTGACACCAGAGGGCACTGGCAGTACAGTTCCTGCAGCACAGAACCCAAAATTTGTTTCTGTCATCCCTGCAGAGACTAATTGGGGGGAAGAAAAAGGGAGGGGGAAGATGCAGTAGATGCAATCTGCAGTGATGTTTCTCCCCATGAACATTACACAGTCCCCAGGGCACTGGAAAAGTAAATATGATGCTAATAAGGGCTGCCAAATACAGCACCATAATGTGGAAAGGCATCATCTGGAGAGGCAGTAGCTTTTATCCCTTACGGAAAAAAGCCTCAGCCTCAAATTGGCATAAGCAGCACAGCAGTGAGTATTCTTGTAAGCTGTTTTCATGCTACATATTTACAGCAGCGTAAAATATGCTGTCTTGCTACTGCCGCTATTACCTATATGACAAGCAGCCATACCACTTCCCCCCTGTGCCAGGAAAGGGAGTCAGACTTTTGCCCCTCACATTTCCACCTCACATGAATCTCACTCCCATCATAATTCTGTTGTGTTCCAGCAGAGGACTTCAGCAGAGGGCTTAATGCAACTCCAAAAAACTGTACTGAGAGTCAGCAGCTTCCTCTGAAGCACCAGAACAGCTAGTTACCTGGGACCCTTTGAAACCCCAAAGCCTTTAAGGTGATGGCTATTACAGCTCTGCAGGAAATCCAACTTGTACACAGGCAGGACAAACGTGATTTCTCATCCTACCCCCTTCTGATCATTTATGCAATTCATATCAACTTGAGTTTTTAACTAAATGGGATGGAAACCTGGAAATCCAGAAACAGGAGCTTGTCTCAGTTTCACAAATCTTTTTTGCAGCCTACTCACCAGTTTCAACCCACAGCAACCCTCTATCCCTGTTCTGCCTGACAGGAACAAGATGCCTTGCTCATTCATCTGCCTTAAAGTACTGGGCATGTGCCTTGCTTCTGCTTTGAACGGAGGGAGAACAGCCTTGCCCATCACAGCCCCTCCCATAAGCAGCATGGAAGGAAGGGGAACTGGGTCTCAATACATTTGGATGCCACTGGCTTTTCACTATATGGGAAGTGGAAAAGATTGTGTTAATCAAGCTACACTGATGAAAATTCACCAGTGTAAACAAATCCCTAAAGCAGAAGACCAGAGAAGTCTTCTGAAAATCCCTCCCAACTTCAGTTCACACCTGGACTTGGCTTGACTAAGAAACAGTGAAATTTAGGCCAGGCTTCTGCTAGCTAAGCACTATTTGCTTCTAAAATACAGCTACAATCACCTTAAGGCTAATGGTGCTTATCCATGTGTATGTTTGCCAACATATGGGTTGTCTCAGGTTTCACATACTTTTTGGTAAGGATGTGAATGCATTCCCTAATTTCTTACAGTCCCCATGGGCAGCTCAACATTTGAAGCTCTTTAGGAGCATGTCAGCCAAAAGACAGGCTTTTGAGAGGGAGGTGCAAAAGACAAAACTTCACTTAAAGCAAGCTCTGCAGTTATTACGCACTGATCCTGAAGGCCAAGCTTTTGGCAAGGAGCTAAATATTAAATAAAGAGCACAGTATCTTTTATTGCTGAAAGGAATAGCTGGATTGTTTCAGTGAATCAGAGCAAGCAACAGAAGAAACGCATTAACTATGGTGGGGAGTGTCTAGCAGCTGGTAAGTTCTAAGCAAGTTCACAACTTTCACACAAACCAAACTTGGGAAGCAAAACAGATTGTATCTGAACACAGGATGCGAAGGAAAACTTAAACCATCCTGTACTGGAAAACATTACTGATTTTCAGAGAGGCCCTAATTTTGGGCAGTAGCGCCTCTTGGAGGCTGCTTTCTCAATAGCAGGTGTCAGCTGTAGTCCAGAGCAACCATTCCACAGTAGATCACTTGCATTTTTTCACAGTGCTCTGAATCAGAAGGCCAAAAGTGTTGCATGGGAGTTTGCCAGAAACACTAAGGGTTAACAGCTGTCCACTAGATCGAAACACCAGGGAAACACTGCCACTGAACTTGCAACATGCTTTTACCTTGCTCTCTGCAAAATATTTTTATACTTTTCACCTTATGCATTGTGTAACAAACCAAACCCAACACTAGTAGCAGGTGTCATCCTGCATTAATTTAACTGGACCACTGGTGGCCATCACCATTCCCACTTTAGACAGAGAGGGCTGCAGGGCAGCAGACCTTCCTGCACAAACCTCTTCATTCTGGAGCCTGCCTAGCTCCCAGTACAGCTGGCACCGTGTGGGAAGGGAGTTTAAGTAACTACACTGCAGGGCCTCTGGGCCTATAAATGTGTTATAATGTGGCAAACGGTTGATTCACCCAGTGTTTAACTAGCCAGCAGTTTTGTGTTTAGATTAAAAGTGCTTCTACTGATGAGAGAAGAAAGACACGACAGGACAAATTCTTGTTGTGCATCTCTGCTCTAGCCCAATGGCATGTGTTTAGCAATAGTGCAGAATAAAAATATACATGCTCTGTGCAGACAAACTCATCCTGGCAGATTGAACAGAGATTGCCCCAGGTCTCTAGAGATCTCTTCAATGGCAGACTAGAAAGTGTCCTTCATTATAATGAATCCTACCCAAGTTTCTCTGAAAGCCTGCTGCACTCCAAGGTTCACAACCAGTCCATCCTGGAGCTGCCTCAGAGAGGCTGAGAGCTGGCAAGGTTCACAAAGACTGAAAACTTCCTTGGGAGTTCAGCACACCCTCTAGAAAACTCTGAAGGAACAAATTTGTGCTTCAGGAACATGGAAAAAAAAAAAAAAAAAACCCCTGCCAGCTGGCAACACAGTACTCCTGTCTTGCCTCTTCAAATGATCCCCTGGCTGCTCTCCTCAGCCTCTGTGGCACGGAGGAAATATTACCTTCAAGTCCCTGTGCACGATATCATGCTGGTGAATGTGATTCACACTCTCCAGTATCTGATGAATACAGTGGCTGCAAGATAAAGGGAGAGACACACAGAGTTATGCACACGCACACATACACTTGGCATCTCATCTCACCCCAGGACTATTTCCCTAACTTTTATATTTCTACCAGGGAGAGTTCAAGACCCCAGGCTGAATCCCTTCATCATGCCCACTGGATGCCACAGCTCAGTACTGTCAGTAGTCAGTACCGCTGGACACCCCCAACCCCCTCAGCAACAGGATGCTAAACATCCTATCTATAGCAGGACCACAAAGCCTCTCTCCTACCTCCCACCAGCTCCTGCCTTTTCTCCCCATCACACTAAGCATCTCTCTTGTTCCCTCAGCCAGCAGTGCCCACCCCACACAGGAGAACCGAGGCCCCCGAGTATCTGCAAACGGCAGCCAGGATTGGGCAAGCAAGGCCCAGTCGCTCCAGGAAACATTCAGCTGGGCTAGTCCTGAGCAAAGCATAAACTTTTAGAGAGCAGCAGCCTCCCCCAACAAATTCAGCATGACGACTCCTGGGTGCCTGCCAGTTTGCAAAGCTTTCAGAGCAGCATCTCAAGCACTTCACATACACAATGCATGCACACACCCGCTTGCTGGGTGCCTTTTAAGTACAGATCCCACTTAAGGGGTTAGTGATCTGAAAAGCAGACTCATTCCCTGTTAAGTGCAGTGTGCTGCACTCCCCCAGCTCACAGAAAACCATGTCTCTGCCACTCTCACCGCTGTAATCACAGAGGCAAAAGCAAGATGTTATTTACACCTGTTGCATAAGGGCAGCACAACACACCCGTGGGTGAGATTTCTGGTTGAAAACATTTCTTCTGCTAAAGATTCACTCAGCTCCCAAGGATGAATGTGGAACGGAGTAGGGATTTTGACAACTATGGCTGGGCAGCAAGCACCCAGATGTGGGCAACTCAGCTGGGTCTGTGTCCTCACTGCAGGATCAGTCAGTCCGCTCACTGAATTCTACAAATCTTGGGGGAACGAATTTGAAATGAGTGAAATATTTGAGGGAAGGGAAATTGGCTACTAGAAAAGATGGGAAGAGGGTGAGGGGAGGAAGAGGAGAGGAGGTAAAGCACTGTGTGTTTGTTACCCCCGCCGCTCCAGAGCTGGCAGTACAATCCTCAGGGTCGGAGTCCATGAATATCTCCCCGCTCCCAAAACAAAAATGTATAATTAGAACAGAGCCGAGTCTGAGCAAGAGAGATTTTCTGGCCAAAAATGGCAAAAGTGTGAGGTGTCCCAGGCGAGCCAAGCGCAGCGGATTGGCACGGACCTCGCTCCCGCGTTCTCCCAGCCTGCTCTGGAATTCAGCTCGGCATGGGGAGAGAAAGGGAGGAGTTTCACTCTGTCATCTTGTGGGCACTGCGAGACCTGGCCGGCTGACAGTCAGAGGGCTGAGCACCCCAGGGAAGGCTCACAGAGCAACAGACAGTTCTCCTTTTCCCCGAACCCTGCCATAATTCTCCTAAGCAATGCTGGTCAGTGCCAGCTCTTGACCATTTCAGGGAACAGGCACTGGCAAGAGGGACAGGGGGAAGGATTATCATCGAGAACCTCAAAACTTCCCAACTTCAAGGCAGAACAGCTTGAGTGACTGTGTATCTGCCCAAAATACTGTGCCTGCAACGTCGGTACATCCCACTGAAAACATCTACAGGGCTCTCAGACCTCTCTGCCAGGAGCATCATCAGAGATGATGAGCCCACTGGCCTTCCCCATCAGCAGACAGCTCGCAGCGGAGCGCGCGGTGCAATGCCTCATTTGAAAGCATTGTGCAATGCCCAGAAGACAGAAGCTGTAAGCGTACCACAGGGAAAGCAAATAAGCACCCACTGACTCCACAACAGTACCTAAACTAACACACCAGGTCATACTCTTGCCTTCCCTGAGCTCAGTACAATCTTCCTCACAGTACTGCCTACCAAGCTCACCCTGCGGCAGCACCCACTGCTCCCTTCTTACCCCTCTCCTCTCACAGCTCCCCTAATTCCTGCTCCAGCAAGGGTCAGGATAAGGGATAAGAACACGGGTGCAGAATAAGCAGGGGTGAAATGTCACCATCAGGCCACTCCCAGGCCCTGATAAAGCAGAACAGGAGCTGCCTAATCCCAGCTTTGATTCCAAATGCTGCATCTCCAGCAGACGGACGGGTCAGAGACCACCCTCAGCTACTGCTGCACAAAACACCCACCCTGCATAAACCACAAAGGGACAAGCACAGGCCATTTCAGGAATCTCACGCATGGGGGAGAGGGGACACACTCAGAAAAAGGCATAACTTTAAATCTTTTTAATATTAAGATACAAAGGTTGCTCTCACATATTGTGCCTTTTCTCACTGCGCCACCCAGCTCAGAGTCAGAGAGGACTTCCACAGAAACGCGGTCTTCAAAGCCCCCTCTCCTCCCTGCCCCGTAAACCATTACCTAGACACAGGCACATTGAATGGGTCTGCCCAAGAGCGATGGCACATCACTGGAACCCCTACTAGGAGAAGGCGATGCCCAGCAGTCCGTGCTCTTACAGACACAGGACAGCTCTCCCCTACGTTTGCTCACTAAGGACACCCTGTCACCACCCACCAGACAGCGTCTGCAAGCGGCAAGGGCTAGAGCTGCGGTGAGTCAGGCTGACCAGTGACAATAGTTCATGCTAATAGCGGAAAGAGGAATTGTTTTTTCCAGATGGGGAGTAAGAATGTCAGAACAAAGCTGTGCACAGAGCAGCAGTCAGGAAACCCATTCCACTTGCCAACACATGTGGCACATACACAGAAGGGTCTGGAAACAGTCTTACCTGGCATCTGCTTCACTGTAGTATTCTCTGGCAACAATATCCTCAAAGAGCTCCCCACCAGTAACCCTGAAGTGCAAAAAAACAAGGGAGGTTACAGAGTCTGTGCACGTCCAGCTCAAGGCTGCATGGGATGTAGGTGGCTGCCCATCTGGGCTCTTTCCTGCAGCCTGTGTGGGGCCCTGCAGCACAGGGGAGCCAGGGCAGAGCTCCAGCACTGGTGCATCCATGTGACTGACCCCTTGGACTGCCACTTCACCAGCAGTGTACAGGACACTGTTGACACACTGGGCACAGATTGCCCATGCTGCTCTACAGAGCTCAGTGGATGCGAAGCTTGGGCAGAACATCCCTCCTCTGACCCCCTCCAGGCTGCCGCAGAGACAAAAGTCAAACCTCCCCCCTATACAGGATAGCTGTCCTTTGCCATCCCACGCTTACACCTGCTGCCAGGAGCCTTCCTGGTTCATCCCCTACCACACAGTCAATGGATTTTTGTGAAATAGGCCAGAGGTATCTACAGGTCTCAAAAGAGAAAGGAAGAATTATATTAATGCAGGTGCTTTTTATTCCACTCTTAGTCAACCATCCACGTGCCTGTATCACTGGCGAAGCATCAAAGCCAAAGAAAGACACTCACAGATCAAAGACGAGGTAATGGAAACCTTCTTCTGAAATACTGTCATGGAGCCGCACTGCAAAAACATAATCAAGAAATGGAGATTTACAGAGCATGTAGCAAATATGACACTTCACAAATCAAACACATACACACAGCCAAGTTCTCCCTCAACCCGATCAGTCTATTAATTCCCCATGCCCTTCACTTTGTGTGCTCACTTAGTGACCTATTTCCTTCCGTTATCTCAAAGGAACAGATGGGTGTCCTTCACATACACCCACCCCTCCCCAGCGTCAAAACAAACTCTAAATATCTTTTGACCTCCTGTTCGTTGTTCTTCTCTAACGCTTCAGTACACCCTCCTTTCACATCTGCCTACTCTTTCCTCCATGCTCACGTTTTGCGATCTCTCCCCACCCATTCTTATTTCCCAAAACAAACTCTTTTCAGACTCTCCAAACAAGCCCCCAACCCAAAAATTTACTTCCGACCCCACCTGCAGGTCAGTGCCATTGATGTCCCTTCTGCCTTTCAACTGTAAACCTCCATGAAGTTCCCTCCCTTTACTTCCTTTTCCTCTTTTCATTCTTACACCCCAAATCCTTACCCAAAATTCAGAGCCACTTTCTTGTCTCGTTTTTCCTGACATCTTTGTTACCACTGACATATCTGATCACATTCCCCTTCTCAAAATTTCCTCCTTCAGCTTCCTTACCTACCTACCCTAGTTCTGCTCCTATTGCCTAAAATAACTGTCATCTTTTTCCTTTCCTTGTCCTCTGCAGGACTGGGGCTGTCCCCTTGATGGGCCACTATCCCCTGGTATTCTGGAGTCTCTGGGGCTCTGTACTCCGTCCCCCATGTTACACGTGAGCGATAACTGTTGTATCAGTGAGGCCAGCACAGTGACATTTCCTCCTGTCTGAATCAAAATCTCAGTTTCTTTGATGATTTTTCGATACCTAGGCACTAATTCTATCCCAAGAGGAGAAACTCAGCTCTTTATTTCATATTGCTACCTACCCCCTACTTTTTGCTTTTCTCCCCTGCTGGAAAACTTCACTATTTCCCCTGCCAGAGTCACAAGCTAATAATCCTATTTGACTCAATTCCTAAACCTTCACACCCTGACTAGGACAAGCCGTCTTCTTCACGTGACCGTCTACAGTCCTTCCCTATTGATTCACCCAACTAAAGCAACTAGCTGAGACTAGACTGGGTCTCAGTCACTGCAACACCATGTAATTGAGTATTGACCGAAGTAACATTACCATTCTCATCCCTGCAAGAAAAAGCTTGTTATCCTGCTCTGTCATTTCAATGGTACCTTTGCCTACCTTCCCTGTCTTCCACCCTCTTCCACATAAAATGCAGTTGACCTGTTTTTGACTTTTTCCAACATCATGATTTTCTCTCTGCCAGTATCAAGAGGTCAGTTTGCACCTCTTATTGGCACATGACATCAACTACCATCACCGTCTTGGGAATATTTCAAACTAGCACTTGGCACATGCTCCTACCTCATATGGAACAGCTTTTGCAAATGTTCTCAATGCTCTCCTCTAATCCTCCTTGCAACTCTCCTTCGCTAAGGCATTCTTCCACATGCACGCAAACACACTCAAACTCAAAATTGAGAGTAGCACAGATCTGCAGAGACCACTGCCAGTACCTTTCCTAAAAGGATTTCATTCTTTCCTTATTCTTTCTGCCTGTACTTTCCTATATTTTTCCTGCCTTTATTTACAAGCTCTCTGGGCTGGTCCCTCAACCAATTTCCTTTCCTTAGCATTTCTACTGCATCTAACCACAGGGCTTTGGGAAGAGCACTCAACACGGCATAATGCTGCAAACAAGCAAGTACAGTTAGAGTACCAGTACAGCAGGTGTTTCAGGTACAACATGCTGTCCCTACAGTATGAAAACAGAGACACATCATCTTTAAGAACTACGTTCCTCAAATCATTTGCTGAAAAAAAAAAAAAAAATTCTTTTCAAATAAGCAGTTTTAGTTGGCTTTGTAATAAGTTCAATGCAATACGACTTTGTGTTTACAAGGAAACTTGCCTCCTGAGCACTTGGCAGAAACAAGCAGAGGCGGCATTACAAAAACGCAAGCAAGGAGAAGGATATTTCCTAGGAGAAAAGATTTCCATTCAAGACTGGAAACAAGATAGGAAGTGGCTTAAACAGACACTTGGATTCCTAGTGCAAGGCAGTTTTCACTCCACTGCGTAAGACTATTTGAGGTGAATGCAGGGGACAGGCACACGAACAAGAGCTGAGGCCCAGGACTTGAGCAAAAGTCTGTAAAGGGACCTTGTGAAGGGGGAACAGATGGAGAAACTTCAAGGAAAGCTGAATGTGCTAATAAGGTCATGTCTGGTGGTGCTTGGTGTGCACGAAAAAGTGTTCTCCTTCCTCTGACACCTGAAAGGTCATCGAAGCGCTGCAAGAAACACCAAGCAGAGAGGAGACTAGAACGAATGAAATCCTGACAGAGGAGGAGCACAGCCACCAGCAGGGTGAGAGCAGTGGCCACGAAAAGGGAACAGCAAACACATCTGCAGGTAGAAGTGAGAAATAGCAAACGATAAACTTTGACGCAAAGATGTGGGCAGCAAATTACATCAGAAAATAAAACATAAATGAGCTGATTGGTGCTATTTCTTTGTCCGGAGGAAAGGAATTTTGTCAGATACATTATGAAAAGGGAAGGAAGTAGCAATTCAGCTGGCAGAGACCGGCAGAGGCAGCAGAAAGTGCCTTCAAGGACAGTAAAACACTATTTGCGTCCTTAGGTGAGGAACCATGACAGGAGGACAGAGACAGTTCATAAATACTGACGCTGTACATCACCCTAGGGCTGCACAGCAAAAGAAGGCCTTGGAGGCAGGACGCAGGTCATTAACTTAACAGGGGAGCTGCTTCCTCATGACAGCCCAGAGCGATGCTGGAACAAAATCTGCCCAGGATTTAATCTGCTGAGGTAACAAAGCTCAGGGACTAACGGTAGAACAGCAAAACCCAGAAAAGCTATAGGAAAGATGACAGTGGGCTCCACCACCCTGCACAGGAATAATTAGCAACAGTTCAAAACATTAGGCTTAAAGTGTGGAGGGGGGCAGCAATGAGGGGAGTCAAAAAGGATTATGAAAAGTCTGAAGATAGCAAAACTCTTGTGACTTTCAATTCCAGCCCACATCTAACTTCATCCCAATGCTGACAGGAAGAAACAAAAGCAATACCCAGTAGCAGAACAGCAAGAGCACCCAGCGCACTTTCACCCTAACTTACCTACCCTCCCGCAGAGCCAAAAGAGCCTTCCTGACCAGCAAGGGTACTGCATTTGGCAGCTCTGATGCCATGGTTCACTCTGCTGACACACAAGTTAAAATGCTCTGCTTTCTAATACAGTGCTGACTACCAGGGACTGTCAGCTTAAAAACATGATCTGCCTTTTCCAAAACGATTCAGCCAGCCCATGAAATCGCGTGTATTCAGAAGTAACACCACCACCTTTAGCTCATGTCAAGAATAAAAACATTTCAAAAGTTTCCCGGCCTCCTCTCTGCTTTGGTTCATAAATATGAACCACATTGTGTTAACGTTCATCATAAAGGCACATGAACATCAGATACCATCTGATACCTCCACCTTCCAGACAGTATAGAGCTCTCTTTGCTTTAAAGACATCCCATGAGAGCGCCCTCCACCTGAAGGCAGGACACAAGTTCTCGAATGGCCAGTTCCAAGAGTGGGTAACAGGAACCCGAGTCCTCTGAGGCTGTCCTCTCTTTCAGACATTTTCCCCATCTCATTTGTTCCACAGGCTGCTGGTCCTGACACACCATCTAACACATCTAACATGTCCATTGCTACCACAAGTTCAGCTTCAACCAAGCAGATGAGCAGAGGCCATGTAGGCTGCTCATACCTCTGTAACCTGTTGACACAAGAGGGTGAAAAATACAATCACATATAGATGTTGGAGGGTAAAGGATTCCCCAAAATTGACTACCCATGATAAGAACAATGGAGAATTAAAAATGAAAGTATTCATCCAGTTAACCTTTTCTTCAAAAATATTACAGACCCCCCCCCCTTTTTTTTTTTCTTTCTCTCGTCAGGGGAGCAGTGACGTCTATGTCTAGTGCAGCAGGCTAGACAAACGCACACATCACAGAAGGAGTCTCAAGTCACAGCAACAGGGAAGTTGCACAACAGCAACACAGGGTCTTCCAAAAGATGACCAAACTACAAAAGAGTCCAGTACTTGCCAAGGAACCTGATCTCACTCTATTCACCAGAAGATGAGGTAGATGATTTCTATTAACCGATTCTGTCGCTCAGAAGCAGCCATTCAAACCGTATTTCCTTCCTAGCCACTCTTAACACAGGGATTCTTACATATGTAGGAAATCAGGCCCTGCCAACACCACACACAGCCAGGGTCACCTGATGACTGTTCCCATGTCAAAGGTTTCTGATGGATGGAAGAGCACTTACTACAATGGTTTGCAAGAACAGATGAGGAGAGGGGAGTAAGAAAGAAAACAGAAGCAAGTCGGACAAGGAGGCACTAAATCAGTTACAGGATATGGCGAAAGACTTCACCCAAGGTTTTAGTCAGAGTACAGGAAAAGGTCCCATCCACACAAAGAACAGAGGGCTCGTAGAGTTCACAAGCACATCTGATTTTGTAAGACTGTCAAGTCTTACAGATAACTTCAGAAATAATAAATAAAAAACCACCGTGCTAGTAAGCAACGCCAGAACAAATGCTATCCAAAGGAGCAGAATCAGTCACAGACTGTTACGTAAAAACATCTTCTGCAACAATACCAGCACAAAGCGTGCATCACCACTTGGACGATATCTCCAAGAAGCACATAGATTCTGAGAGAGATAAACAGTGGTTTCAGTACAGCATCTTGATGAA